CTTTCTTTCTTTCTTTCTTTCTTTCTTTCTTTCTTTCTTTCTTTCTTCCTTCCTTCCTTCCTTCCTTCCTTCCTTCCTTCCTTCCTCCCTCCCTCCCTCCCTCCCTCCCTCCCTTCCTTCCTTCCTCCCTTCCTTCCTTCCTTTCTTCCTTTCTTCCTTTCTTCCTTTTTTTGACTGTTAGTTATGTTGTACCTATTTTCATATTCTAGTCCATGAGTTAGACTGCTGCCTGTTTTTATTCTGGGCCAATTAAGAAAAAAATCTATTATTTATATTTTACTAGTCCGTTTGTAGAAAGTAATAGCTATGGTAATATCAGTAATCTTTTGTTCAATATTCTTGTGTCTTTGGAAGGTCTTTCAAGACTTACTAATTAGATAACCCTTAATATTATACACAAAAGCTTAATTCCAACCAAAGAAATTGTCTAGATCAGTGTTGTCCAACAGAACTTTCTGCTGTGATGAAAAGGTTCTATATCCACACTGACCAATATGGTAGCCATGAGCCACATGTTACTGTAAGGTACTTGAAATGGAGCCAATGTGACTGAGGAACTACAGACTTAATTTTATTTTTTATTTATTTTTAAGATTTTATTTATTTCAGATAGAGTGAGAGCAAGAGAGAGGCCAAGCCGGGGGGTGGGCAGAGGGAGAAGCAGACTCCCTGCCAAGCAGGGAGCCCAGTGTGGGGCTTGATCCCAGGACCCTGGGATCATGACCTGAGCTGAAGGCAGACACTTAACCGACTGAACCACCCAGCCACCCTTATTTCATTTTAAATTCATTTATGTTTAAACTGAAATAGCCACATGAGCCTAGTGACTCTTTTAACGGAGAGGGTAGGCTACAGTTCTTTCATGTATTTAGAAATGATTCTCTGGGTGGGGGTGGGGGGAAGAAAGTGTGGTTTTTAAACTTGAGTTAAAAATATAGTAAAATGGTTATTTTTGTGTGAACAATGTACTATGTCCTACTGAAGAACTGCTTAGAGAGTGACTCAACACCATCAGTTACCTTGATCTATTTTGGCAGGTCAAGTCAATCAGCTCTCTTGGAATCACATTTAGCATTTAGATGCTTATCAGTCAAAAATAGCACATGATTGTGCTCTACTGTAATTTAATTGGTTAACTATGAGGAATTCATGCTTTCTGTTTTGTTGCTATTATGTATTAACATTTTATAAGCTATGCATTATTAATTTAATAATATGTATTTTTATGTGATGGATTGTAACATAACAACTTTCTTTCCTACTTTTTAGGAGAAAACAACGTTTTTCTTTTACCAAAATTCTGCCTCATGTGACTTTTCAACAGTGGAACCTTTTTAAAAGGTAAGTTTTATAAAAGTAAAGTATTCTATGCTTTCTGAATTTTTAATCTCCTATAATTAGCACTTGAAAAGAGTTTCTCTTCCCCCACCCTTATTTGATAACAGACTGTCTCATTGAATCATGAGATTTCAAAGTAACTACTTGGAAGGGGGCTTATTTTTTTTCTCCTATTATTTTTTTGCAGAAAGGGAAGTCAAGAAAAGATCTGTTTTCTGTTACTGGCACAAATCTGGGCTTAGTAGAACCATCCCAATTTCTAAACCCTACCAGTTTAATATGCAAATATCAATGGCTTGAGTAGCAGAGAATGTAATCCTATTATAGTCTCAAATTTATCAGAGTCCTTAGAAATCCTAATTAGCTTTAGTAATCACCTGGCTCTTTTCTTGGATATTATTAGTATCTCTGGGGGGTTTCACATTTTTCCATGTGAGAAAATATGATTTTGGCTACAGCTGCTTCCAGGGTTCTCTTCTGTCAGAGAAATATCATACATAGAGTTTGAGTTTTTGTATAGTAAAATATCTATCCAGATATATATTACATATCCACTAATTAAAAATGCTCCATCCATTTGAAAAGTGAACCCACATTGAAACTTGTTTATAATATTTGATCTTTCTATTTCATTTAGCAACCAAACCACTCTGTAATATAAACATAACCCTATTCCTGTTTTAACCTCAATTTTACGTATAGATTATGGAGTATATGAACTTTCCAAGTGCTCATATCCATTTAATATTTTTTATGGTGAACTGGGGACTCAAGTACATATAAATACCCAATCAAGATTATACCCCAATGCCATGAAGTACAAAAACTCTGAGTTTGGAGGCATACCTTTCCAGGTTTGGCTGTCATTCTCCCAACTTAGGCTACATTCTTTCATTGGTAAAAATCCAGCTAATTATACTTACTTAATACCAATTACTACTGTTACAACAGTTAAATCAAGTGTATTACTTACCGGTGGTTACTACATTTCTATCCGTATACCTAGCATTGAATCGCTGCTTATAAATAATACTTTTGTTTGTTTCCCCTTTCTTGTCAATTTCATTCTAAGATGATGTAGTCATACTATCTATGGTTTACTCATAAAATCACTTTAGAAATATTCAATAAACACAAGTAGTGGGGGGAAAAAAGCTTTTTAGGTTAAATTTAACTGAATTTGAGTCTTGATGATATCAAAACCCTACAATATAGCAATAGACAACAAAATCCGAAAAAGTGAATCTTAAGTAGGAAGTTTAAATAAAACTAAAGTGTATCTGATAGTTTGCAAACATAAAATAAAAAAGGCAGCTTTAGTGATAGTTCAACATGGCTAAGTTAGAGTGTCTTAAGACTAATATAAATTCCTATTAAACATTTATTAAGAAGGCTTAGAAATTCTAAATCAGAAGAATAAGGAAAAGAATGCAATTATTAAAGGTATTTGAATATAACCTTTTTGCTGATAATATATTGTGTAAGATTAAGGATAACTACAAAGACATTAACATTCCTCCTGTCAAACATTAGGGGTTACTTCCCCTTCTACCTACCCTAACAGAGTGTGGTAGCAATGACACTGCCAATTCTGGGCTTAGCCTTTAGCAGGACAGTCAGCTTCCTCCTAGGTCATCCTAGGAACCCATCCTAGGGTTCCAAGGTTGCCACATAAGAAGTCCAGTGACTCTGCTGAAAAGCACACATGAAGAGGCTTTGAGGCTACAGTGAGAAAAAAAGTGACCCAGTTGAGACCAACTTTCCCACCACCCATCTACCATTTGAATACCACAGAATGGCCCTGGTAAATACCATTTAAAGCAGAAGAATCTCCCATACAAGCCCGACTCAAATTCCTGACCCACCAAATTAGGAATTATAATAACATGGTTTTTTTGTTTTGTTTTGTTTTAGAATACTAAGTTGTAAGGTAGCTACTTACACTATAATAGACAACAAAAAAATGCAGAGGCGAAGGAAGAGTTCCTTGCTAGTTGCAGTTGGCATACACAACTGTTTCATTGGTTTTAAACATATTAACTGTTAAGATAGTAATCCGGGGCACCTGGGTGGCTCAGTCGTTAGGCGTCTGCCTTCGGCTCAGGTCATGATCCCAGGGTCCTGGGATCGAGTCCCACATCGGGCTCCCTGCTCAGCGGCAAGCCTGCTTCTCCCTCTTCCACTCCCCCTGCTTGTGTTCCTGCTCTCGCTGTCTCTCTCTGTCAAATAAATAAAATAAAATCTTTAAAAAAAAAAAAGATAGTAATCCTAAAATAATTTATCCAAACTTGGTTACCTGACCCAGAGTTTTATTAATGTGTGAATAATCTTTCCAATAATTATTGGTCTTTACTATCTTACTTTATAGAGCTAACCTATTGTAAAAATCATGAAAGGATGCAGGAAAATTGGATAGTTAAAGCCTCAGCATGTTGTATTTATAAAAGAGAATACTAGGTTTTCTATCAAAAAACCTGAGATAAGATATTTACTCTGCCACTCATTATCTTGGAGACTTTGATCAAGTCACTGCTTTTGTGGGTCTTGAATTCTTCATCTGTAAAATTAACTCCTCAGATTTCCCATCCATAGGTAGCTTACGGATCTCTTTGAAAAATCTCTAAGTTCCTATTTTATCGTTGTTTTGTATTCTTTAATGAGATGGTCGATCAGATGTATCCACAAGAGGGGACAAAGGAGAGGTACAAGAAAACAAAGTTTAATATACTCACAGAGTCATGAGGGGCCACATGGGGTGAGTGCAGAGGAAGTGGCCTCAAACAAGCAGGTGGGGAGCAGAGAGCGCAAGGACCCATGGGCACGTGGGGGTCAGGGTGGAGTATACAAGCAAAAGGCATGATGGGATATCCCTTGAGGATATGAGGTCACAGAAAAGGGAATATAAGAAAGAGAACTCGTGGCAGGGGCCGCCTCATCATATGGTGGGTACACCTGGTCACTTGGCTGGGGCGTTCACGGTCTATTTTGGGAGATGTGGAGGCAGCAGGAATATATGAAGTTTTAAAATTTATGGTACAGGGGTGCCTGGGTGGCTCAGTTGGTTAAGCGACCACCTTCGGCTCAGGTCATGATCCTGGAGTCCCGGGATCGAGTCCCGCATCGGGCTCCCTGCTCAGCGGGGAGTCTGCTTCTCCCTCTGACCGTCCCCCCTCTCATGTGCTCTCTCTCTCTCTCTCATTCTCTCTCTCAAGTAAATAAATAAAATCTTTAAAAAAAATTTATGGTACAGTTATTAGGTCATGCTATAATCTGAACGTTTGTGTCTCCCTAAAAGTCATGTGTCAAAATCTTAATGCCCATATGATGATATTAGCAGGAGGGGTCTTTGTGAGGTATATAGGTCATGTTGGTGGAGTCCTCATGAATGGGATTTGCTCCTATGAAAAAGACCTCACAGAGCTCCCTAGCTGCTTCCACCATGTGAAGATACAAGGAGAAGTCTGCCACCTGGAAGAGGGCCTCTATCCAACCATGCTGGCTGGCACTGTGATCTCAGACTTCCAGCTTCCAGAACTGTGAAAAAAAATGTCTGTTGTTTATAAGCTACCCAGTCTGTGGTGTTTGGTTTTAGCAGCCCAAACAGACTAAGATAGGTTGCAAGTATTTTAACGTGTCACAGCTAAATTTATGGTACCAAACCTCAGAGGTTTGAGAGCAGATGACTTCCTCCCTAACACCAAGTAGTATAGTATCTTCAACCTCCCTAACACCAAGTAGTATAGTATAGTATCTTGAAACAAGTATTTCATCCTCCTAAACTAACCCTTGATGATTTCCCAGTGAGAGCTACTTTTGTACAGGAAGGAGTCAATACATATTACTTGATTCTCATGTGTTGTCTTGTCAGATAACAGTTGTAGTTTGGAGAATGCTTACTTATATATTATTTATCACAGAAGCTATATTTTCTTATGCTTCATGTGAGCAATTCATTATATAAATAATTTGTAATTTTCTATTAACTTGATGCCTTCTCTGCAATTTCCATACTTTGAATTTACTTGTGATAGGTTTAAGTTATAAAATAATATTAGAGATAGTTTAAAATATATTGTTAGCTATAGGAATTTTCTAACTTAATTGGCTTCCCTCAGCATGTGAGTTTTGGGGAGAGCATTATTACTGCATGTGGGTTTTACCTTTAGATTCAGGTGGATTGGATACATTGTGGATTTCACAGTAGCATTTTCTGTCTTCTTGCCTTCATTTAAGGTGACACTTTGATCAAAGGTGGCAAAGCATGAAATTATGGCCAGCTGTAAAAATGTCACATGCTATTTCAAAATCCTCCTGCAGTTGGAGAATTTCCTGATTATCTGGATCCACCATGGGAATTAAAATTCAGTGTGCCTGACATTACAGCATGTTTTAACAAGAGCACAATTATATTCCTACCCTGTTCCAATATAATGTTGCCTAGTCAGAATTGTTAGACAAGTCCATGGAGGATTGGAACTGTCACCAAGTATCAGCTCACACAGGAGAGTAAAATGAAGTCAATGGTTTCTGCCTTTACAAAAATCACTAATTGTATTTTATTTAGAAATCTGTGCTTCCATGCCTGGAGCAAGCCCCAGGAATGTAAGAAAATCAATCTATTTTCAAATTTTATGGCAGAATACTTTATATAATAAGAGCAGTTAGCTATTTCTTCCTTTGTAAAAAAGAAAAAAAAAATTCTAGGACATATGCAGCAGCTGTCACAATCATAAAAAATAAGACATTTTGAAAATATGTCTGTAAATTACCAGCTTTATTTTTATGGAGGAAGGAAAAATGTCTTTTGTGGGCTTCAATTTTTATTGAAAAATATTGATTGAGCAGCTACTTCATATCAGACTTTTTGCTAGGCTCTGGGGTACAAGAAATGCATAAATACATTTTCTACCTTCATGGAATGCACAGGCTAGGAGAGTAGACAGAAATTCAAATAAAATTAATTACCTAGTCAGAAGGAAAAAAAGATGAGAAAGTAAATAATT